CACGTCTCTCAAATTCTGCAAGACCTTATAAAAATGAGACCATCACAAAATATGTGCATCAAGTGAGATATTAATCAGATATCAATCATTGAGTAAATTCCCAGACAGGGATTAGAGGCTAGTCAAAACAAATGATACAGCCCTCGACGACACAGGGTTAAGAGTTCTGGGCGGTAGGGAAAACTTAAAAGCTGAGAATGATAAGTAGAGTGGTGAGAAACAGGAGTAAGATTTAATTATGAAGTGGGAGTAGTGCCACCTACTTGACTAAATGTTGAAAATTTTATGAACAAATAAACCAGTTGAAAAGTGTTTTCTGTCACAAAATACAACTAAGGAGACTTGGAGTATAAAGTCATTTTCACTGTCCCTGATTGAATTGTATTAATACATTCCTACACTTATATATACGAATGTAAAAGTTGCATCAAGATTTCTCAAGATCTTTGATTAAAATAAAAAAGCTTAAAATCAATCAGCAGTCAGTGGAACAAGACAGAGAATGAAAGAGGGAGTGAGAGATGGATAAAATCAAGACTGATGACTTCCCAGACAATAAGTTGTGTGAATAAGGTGTGTACATGTTCTGTGTGTGTGTAAAAGAGGACAAATATCAATAAAGAGAGATAAAGGAAGAGAGGGTGTTTTTCTTCTCTTATACTTAAGCCTTTGAACAACTCTACAAAACAGATGTACACACACAGATCGCTGAGCTGGAGCAACAATTGATGGGCATGGGCAAAAACATGGTTTCGTACAAGCAGCATTGATCCATCTTCACATGTGCACATAGAGACACGTCCACCCACACACATGTACCGAGCCCATTAGAGCGATGCTTAGAACCACTAGTGTCAGAACTTATGTAGACTAAACACAGTTGAGTGACTACAGCTGTATAAGAGAAGGCCCGCCCTCTCTCTCTGTCCGTCAGTCCTGCTCTCACACACAGGACACAGAAGTCTCGGGTGGATGTTCAATGTGCTTTTGATATCAGCATCGGCAGCGCTAGCAATCATTTCTCACACAAGGACACACACAGAGGCGTACAAACACACACGTACAAAGCCAATGCCTCCTCTCTTATCCCATGTCTGTGTAAATCAAATCAGAGTCCTCCACCACTGTAACCAGCCCCATATGAGACGTTGTCAAAATCAACTCCATCTCAGCCCGAACACGCTCCGGCCGATGGGCTGGGTTGTGTGTGTGTGTTTGTGTGTGTGTGTGTGTGTGTGTGTGTGTATGTATGTGTGTGTTCATGTGTACTATACCTTTGTGCCACGTGGTACGACTCAGGGTGAATACAGGTCTGGTCCAGAGGGTTAAATGAGGTTGATACATTGACTGAAGTCTTTCCTTTGCCCCTCTTGGTCACTGGTTTCACTGGTACTGATGGTGCAGGGTGAGGTGAGGTTTTCAAACTGTTTGGAAAAGAAAGGGAGTTTAAATAAGAGGAAGTTCAAGTCTTAAATAGCTTGAATTTTAAAAAAGATCACCAAAAATAAAGTAGCTGAGGCATAGTTTCTAAAGAATTTCCTTGATTCTACCTCTCTCATCCCTCTTTTTTCATACAATGTAAATGTAACAAATTATTTTATTAATACTATGAAATTGTATTATGCAATGAAACTTGCTATGTTCTTTTTCTGTACCTCTGTTGCTCAGCATAGCATGGACAGAGCTACATCTGCATTTCTGTGCAAACCTGTAATGCATAATGTCAATGAAACTGAACCTGTCTATAGCTTTTTACGTGCTGTTAATAATATTATCATAATAAACTATTATTTATATAGAACTTTTCTTAAGAGACTCATAAACCCCTTAACAGAACAAAAATGGAAATTAAAAGCAGAGCGATCAAAACAGGAGAAAGACATTCAGTTCATAAAACAGAAAACCAAACGTGTCACACATTTATAAAAGCGATGCAAAACAAAAACGTGATTAAAAGACACTAAGGATGTAGCCCGTCTGATCTCAGGGACCTGGGAATAATAATCATAATGTAGCCGTCATATATACACGTGAAGATGTACCTGTGTAGGGTTTGTGGGTTGATCCTAATGAAGCCGGCACACTGCTGGTAGGTCTTGGGCCCCATGCCCTTGACCAGTTTGAGCTGCTCCCTGTTGATGAAGGGACCCTTCTGCTCTCTCCACTCGGCTATATTTTTCGCCTGGCTCACATTCAGGCCTGCCACATGCCTGGGAGATAAAACAGACGGCAGATGCTACCATAAGAAAACACCACAGTGAAAATGTTAATTGAGGATAAACTAAAGTTTAGTGTCAAAATATCTACAAAATTACTAATAACACACAGCTCTGAAACGTTTGCTTCACACACTGTCCACACCAGATTTCTACAATACACAAACAAACAGAGTTAGCGGACCGTGACCTGGCACTTCAGGCGAATCTGGGCGAACAGTCACAAGAGACACACACGAGCCAATATTTAGTGAGTGTATTTGTCCAGTTTTGGCCGAGCAAAGACGAGAGGTGATTTGAAACTCAATTAGGTCGGCTCCGTTAATGTCCACGGTGACTCACTCATGCTAAAACACATCGCTATGTCAACACTCCACATAATACCTCAGTCATCAACATGTCTAAGTGTGTTTAATGTGTGTGTGAGTGTGTAGCATAACTTCTGGCAGGAGTGGAAAAAGCTCACTTGCAGAGCAGACAGGTAAACAGATGACCTGATGCCTGCCCTGCAGCCGATGCCAGCTCGTTCCACACTGTTTGTATGTGTATATCGAATGTGAGGACTTCCTGTGCTTGTCCTGTACATTTCATGGTAAATATGTGTGTGTACAGATGTTTGTAACTAAATGAATACATATATGTAAACGTTTCCTTCTCTGCATGCGCGTGTGTGTGTGTGTGTGTGTGTGCGTGAACCTTGCCTAATCCCCTCTGTTGATTCCAGTCAGCCTAATAAGTGAGGCCAGGGTGTGAGGCATTAGTCTAAACAGAAAGCTGGCGGGTCGTCTATATGTGCGTGCATTGAGAATGCGTCTGTGCCCAAGTGTGAATGAAGCGTTGCCATGTTGTGACTGCTGAGGGAAAGTATGCCAGAGGTCTGAGCCCTATTCATCTCACAATTAGTGTGAGGAGGAGAAGCTGCTCAGGTGTAACACCTGCACTTGCTTATGAGGACATAGATAAACACGTCTTTATACATTGCCTACCTCATCAGGGTCTCAGAGCAGATGTTGATGTCCACTCCCACAAAGCTCACACACTCCTGCACCACGCCGTCCAGCGCTGCCTTCAGAGCTCCGGCTGACACATCGTGCTACAAACACACATTTTCATTTTATTTAAAAGTGAGCTCACACACACTTAGCAACATGTAAATTATGAGAGGTGATTAAATATATATTAAATCTTTATTATATTCTTTTTTTCTCAATGCACAACTATTTGTACACTACTACAGCAGTGTTGGCAAAAAACATAACACGCTGAGAGTTGACAGACAAGTAGTTCAGCAAGTAATAGAAAAAGACAGGAACCGTGAAAGCTGATTGACAGACAGAGGGAGCACAGAAAGAAAAAGAGGGTGAATGTTTAGTTTGGCAGCGTATCTCTCACTCTCTCTAACACAGTGTTCTCATTACTGTAGCTCACTGTCCGTGTCCATCAAGATACTACAGATGGACTCTTCGCACTTCTCAACCACCAGCCAATCAAACACTTATCAGGACATATTCTCTAAAGGAGCTAAATCCTTTTCCTGATAGGGAGGATGGATGAGATAAGAGGAGAGAGTGTACAAGTTTTTCATTCAATTGCAGTAATTATGAATATTACATTCCCTCCTTCTGAAGTTGGTTTGTTAAGTTGTAGGGCAACACAGATCAGAGAACAGAAAAGAACGGAAACTCAAAGGTCACAACATTTTTTTTGGCTACTGAAATATGATTTTGTTAAACTAGAAAATTTGGAAGACGAAATGTTTCTCAATACAATCAAGGCCATTTGAATTTTTCAATCTACTTAGTATGGAACCAATAATTGATAATATATATATATGTATATATATATATATGTATATATATGTATATATATATAAAGTTACAGGTCAAGAAATGATTTGTGTGAACATTAAAAGAGACAGTACTTCAAATAACCTTGATAAAAGATGATACACAGTTCTGCTGAGCCCGACTGGTGAGGATTACACAACACTCCCTGAGCTACACTACTGTTGTGTGTGTGTTTGTGTGAACCTGACCGGGACTATCATGGGTTGTGCTGTAACATGATCTCGCTCTGAACAAACCTTTACTTGTAAACAGATAACAAGCAAACGCACCCCTCTCTGTCAGCAATAACAGGACAATGGGACAGACGAGGACAGATGAGGACAGATGAGGACAGATGAGGACAGATGAGGACAGAGAGGCTCACATGTTACTGTAATGCAAAAATCACAATGCTCAATAAACTCTAACATTATACACAGATAAAAAGAAAATGAATAATGAGTAACCACTCGGGACCCAAACTGGCTGCCTAGTAATATTATCCTGGAGAGTATAAAAGGTCTATGAACAAGCTCCTTCAAAATGTAAGTGCCAGAGGACTAATGACAACAGCTCCACTTCTATAAAAAAGAAAATACTGGTACTTTTAATTCAATATATCATCCGCATGCTGTTGACATTTTTAAATGACTGGATCAACATACCATTTACTGCTTTATTTAATTAATATCAACTGTTGAACATGAGCTCAGGTTTCATTTTTGCTCATCCTGTTGGCAAGTTCTACCTTGAATGAACTTTAATTCTAGCATTAGCATATTAACAGTTTAAACCTCGCCTGCAGTGAGCAGGATGATAACTAATGCGTCATTAAGCAGAGATGGGATAACAGATAAAGAGAGGAAGTAGTAACAGAGACAGCAAAGCAAAGCAAAGCAACCCTGGTGACTCCTTCTGTGACCTGCACACTGATTCTGGGTGAGAATCTTGACACTCAACAGCCGGAGGCATATGGGAGACAGTAAAATTTACTTTCCAAACAATAAGAAGTTCCCATTAAAGTTGGACTGAAAGATTTATGACTTCCGATGAGAACATATGGCAGAGGTGAGAGACGAAGGCAGAGAGAAGAAAGAAAGAGGAAATCACCTGTAATGTCACACCGGAGAATAATGCTTTCACGTGAGAAAGGTGTAGGTGTGTGAGGCAGCGTGAGTTTTAACCTGCAGTAAAGAATATGTTCTCAAATTCTTATTGAAACCTTATAGAGGTGGGAGCAGCACTAGAGGATTTCAGGTTTTGCGTTTGTTGACACAGAGGTGGCATGTGCACGACAGAACATCACTGAACCTCTTTATCGTCTTTATCGGTATTAATTTCAATCCAATTAAAAACTTGGTGGCAGAGGTGACGAACACCAACAACAACTGATTGCTGCACAATCCTTGCTCATCTGGAAACTGTTAAGGTTTATGAAGCACTTTTCTTTTAGCAAAGTCTTTTCAGTTGTGCATGTACCTCAACTGTTCACGACAAAGGACTGTAATGATTCTATAATGATTTGCTGAAAGACATAAGTTCCGTGCCGTACGAGGTGAGTGGCAAAACCAAAACAGAGGGATGCCGACTTGAGACTGGCGTTGAAAAGTGTGTTTTTAGTATCATTTATTACCAAAACAATGTAAATGTTAATAATGTAAAGATTATCTATGTGAGCTGGGCAATTACTAACTTGAATATGCTGCTAACTTCTACTAGCAGTGCTTTAATTTCCCTGAATTTTACAACCAACAGAAGCTCAAAGCTCTGTGATTTGGCTTTTATAAAACTAAAAAGATAAGTCATGGAAGAGCAAGTTGTCTTAGAGGTGTAAGAGGATTACTCAAATTCAAATCAAGAAGAAAAGAGGACAATCAGCCAAAAACAACAACAAACTATTTTGTGATGGGATCAGACCAGCCATTAGCCTGTCAACATGTTGACATTCTGACCCATTAGTACTCTGTACTCATTGCATGAGTAATACACACTCTTATGCAGGGTAACACCCATCATTGAACTTCATTTGAACTATCCACCTATTAAAGTTTTGTAACTGTGTCTTGCTACACACATGAAGACCTGCCAAACAACTAAAACACCACGGCTGTGCGCATGTCAAGCTGTGTCTATACATCCATGTTTCTTAATTACATTTGACAACAAAAGTCAAAGGTCACAATGGTACAACACCCACAAACCTAAAACAGATTTTCAGATAAACATTATCACACATCATCAAACCATCATTAATCTTGACCTACAGACATTAGAACATCTTGCTACCCTATGACCAGACCTCTGCAAACATATCCCATCAACCTCGCCTGCAGATACAGGACCACTTTTACAACCACCTTCACTCTCTCTCATTCCGTGGTCCCACTGCCCGAACCCACAAACTCATCCACAACCAATGGACTGGATCCCTATGTGCGAAGGTCATGTTTGAATTGGCCAGAAAGCTCCTGAAGCCAGCCAACCAACACCCAAAGACAAAGTGTTTCTGTCTGCACCTCCAGCACTTAAATGCTGCAGTTACCACATGTCAGTCAGAGAAAGATGGAGCAAAAGAGAATGTTGAGAAAGAGAGAGCGGGGCCGAATGACAGAAAACCAAACAAGTCGTTGTGAGTAATTTCACAGAGAAAAAGAAAAACATGAACGTCCTTTTCTGTGATGCAGAAATACACACATACTGTATATGTAGGCAATAAACACACGCTATGAACCTTTCACAGGGATATTGATATCGGCCTTTGCTTGCTGATGTGCATCAATATGAAAAATTGTATCTTACAGAATGAACGATGCATAAAAGACGTGCATTTAAGTTTACATTTAATGTAATGTTTCTACATATGTTTCTACATACTTGGTCGTATTTCTGTTTTCTTTTTATCCATAGTTATTTATACCAGTGTGTGTGTGTGGGTGGGTGGGTGTGTGTGTGCAGTATAAATGTGTTAAATACCAGCGTTAAATACAAGTTATAAATCAGCAGCTGAAAGTGATATGACAGTGAGGAGATGGATTTATGTTTGCAATGCTTAATGGCTATTTCTCTGCTTCCTGCCTACCAGACACATACACACACACACACACACACACACACACACATTACCTGAGGGACTGCAAATCACAACATGAGAAATTAACAGCTCAATAAGGCACAGGAAGTGCAAATGACAGGACTAAAATTACCAGGATTTATGAAGTTAAGTTAAAATCAGTCAAATACTCAATTACATGAAAAATGGTTGAAGCAATTTAGGCATTTTTTTTATGACATAATAGTTACAGAAAAACTTTGTAAACCAAGATCAGCATTTTAACCACTGAAATACAAACATCCTTGCAAATAAACTGAGCACTCAAATTTGATCCATTGTTGAATCAGTAGACAAGTGGTATTTAACCTGTTTAAATCTATCATACAAGCATAATTACAAAGCCTGTCTCATCTCACCTCCCCACTCACCATTAAAAGACACAGGCAGACAGTGACATACCTAATCGAAATAATTAAAATAGTAGCAGATTATGTTTGGCAGCTCCTGCCACTGATCAAATTTGTAAGAGCTCGATTGTTTTTCCCACGCCTCAAATCTCGGAGGCAGAAACCATCAGTCACTGTCAACGCTCCATTTCTCACTCTCCTTCCTGTCTGCTCCTGTCTCCCCTGTAGGCACAACCATTCAGGAATGAAAGCATGCTCAAGCGCAGACACACACACAAATACACACTCACACAAATACACACTCACACACACACACACACAGGCCGTGGTGTGACTGTGACATCACTTGCACTGAATTAAAACGTCAATTCAGTCACAGTTTTGAACAAAGTCTCAATTTACTTCACTTGTTTTCTTGTGGTATCGGGTCAATCAAGTACCAATGAGATATATTTAATTATTTTAGAGGCAGACACTAATATATGGATGTCGGCCTGTGTCAGCCAACAACCACAGCACAGAAATGCCAGAGATATGTACTTTTGGCTGACATTTAGTTTTGAAACCCTCAAATATCAATATTGTTATCAGTCTCAACTGATCCATGGCTCTAATAAACTTTGGTGGTTGCAGCAGCCAACATCTGCCTTATCCACTTTGAAATTACATAACATAGCATACAAATCTAATATTAGACCTTTGTATGCATTACACAAAAGAGCAATAAGCCACATGTGTTGAAACTTAAAGATTTAGCTGACTTGAAAATATTATTGGTTATGTGTTAAGCCAGAAATGGGCGCAACCTGAAAACCTAGAAAAGCTGTTATCAAAAAAATGCATTCTCTGGAGAATGATTGAAAATGTTCTTTTTTTTAAATAAAAAACTAATGAAACAGTGTAAACGTATTGAGTAATATTTGGTTTATACTGATTTAATGTAAAGCTGAAATGTTAAGTGACTGTTGAAAAGAAAGGAAATCAAAAAAAAGTGATGGCCATCCGTATTTTTGTTATATTATTTATATGAAAGGTTAATGTAAGATTGAAGAAAGCAGCAGAAGAAGAGTCATTGGGACGACGAGTGTGAAAACTCTTGTAAAGAATGGAGAGAGTTGTAAGAGGTGAGGGGAAGACTGACAGTTTCTTCAATATCCGGGTGGCAGGCAGTGTTTTCTTGCACAGCAGCAGTGTGTGTCTCTGTGTGTATTTTCCAGTAGTTAGTCTCACAGCCCTAGGGATCACTCAGCTGTCAACAGACCATAGCAACATGAAGGGCTGATTGACAGATGGAGGAGCAGTCCAAAAGCCACACCCACTAAGCATCTAATTATAAAAGGCTCCAGACTCCTGAAATGTTCTGAACTTTAAACACGATTAATCTCAAATCTTCACGAATATCAGCACAATTCTAATGTACAGGAAACCACAAATATTAGCAAATACTAAAAACATTGTCAATTCGAACAGACGTGTATCTGGCAAACTCCAACATGCAGCGAAACCTGTCCGTCAGTGGTGCTGCAGTGAGAACCAGAGTTCCCACACCAATAGTTACGTCCAATCTGAATTTAATGGGCCTCACCTTTTCAGCCCTCAGCTCATTTCCTCCTTTCTCTCAGAGCTGTCACTCACTCGGTCAGCAGAGGGAGATAGAAAGAGGGAGCATGCTGTGCCAACTGTCTAGAGTTACAGCTGCCCTTATGCTTTTTTGGGTCTAATGCCATTAAACTCTCAGAAAGCTCAAAACACCGTGACTCACACAAAAGAACACCAACGTGCATGAACGCACTTTTCTCACACAAGCACCAACACAAATATACACACACATGCAAGGACACACACTAAAAAAAAAAGGATGTGTGTTTGTGTGAACTCACATGTAGGTCAAAGAGATGTCCCATCTCATATCTGTCAGCACCCAGAGTTTATTTACCTGGTTATATTATCATTTGTTGACCTAGTCACATGATCTGAGAGCGGGAGGTGCAGAACCCCCGGCACCCCAGAGAGCCCAGTCAGGACATGATGAGAGAAACGGGCCTGTGACCTAACAGCCACACATGCATACGCACAACCACATGCACATGTTGACCTCCTCATTTTCTCAGATCTCCATTTTTCCCCCCCTCACCCTTAAATCTCATCGTCATCCCTTTTCCTTTGACTTTTGTCACCCTCTGCTGTCCTTTCTCACCCCCCGTCTTTTCTTCTCCTCTCCCTCTCATCTCGAGTAGTTGTCCACTGAGGCTCTTTCTTTACGCTGCTGGATTCTTGTTCTTGTTAACACTGTAATGGATGCTCTGGCAGCCAACACCAACAAATGACAGTATTAAACACACCACAGAGTTTCAGCTGCTAAATGTTAAAAATATTTTGACACAGAGGGAAAAGTGCAAATTAATCTCAACCAGCGTATCTCTCATCTGTTGTACATGCTGTGAAAAAACTGATTTAGTGTACAAGAGTCCTCTCTATAATCTAGATGTAGATGATTTCCCCTCAGTCCATGGTAGAACTGACTGAATACCTCACAAGATTAAACCAACAAAAAAAG